TAAAATAAGAAAAATCTATATACAGAAAGCTGGACTTGGCTGCTGTATTAGCAGGATAACAGCCGTGACAGTCATAATCCTTTAGTTAAATCATGTCTGATGAACTAAACTGTCACCTGTGATAATAGTGAAGGTAATGGATCTGTTAGCGACGGCGGAAAGCGTGAACATTCGAAGCCAGTGCTTCATGAATACACCACTTATGGCCTGCATAAGCGGTATCATCTGGTTCCCGCCGACGGCATTTGTACTTTCGTCAGCGCATCATTAATTTACAGTTTCAAAACTAATAAGGTACCTTTTATGATTATGACGAAGTTTGAGGAATTCCGGACATATCGTATTTTATCATTAGAAGCTTTCTTTCGTTTTTGGCGTTGTCCTCAGAACAAGTACAGAAGAGCAGCTTCTGAAAATACATATACGGTAGTCATTTAATAGTAATAGCGGTATAAATGATACGGTTAAATCTTTTCGCACATATTTGGGGACTCACTAGTAAAATAACTGACTATTCGCCCTTAAAGAAGAATATTGAAACTCCTGGTAGCCTACCTTTACGAATAACTCCTCAACCATTATAGCAGCTGTTATCGCCTGTGATGAAACTTCGACTGAATATAGGCAGTGGTCAAAGTAAAGATAGTCTCTGTAAATCCGGTAAAGCAAGTGATACCAGTCTGTGGGTATTTTGCAGCGGGCTAAAACAAATTTTGGGTCAGTTGTCGCACCGAGTTAAATAAAAAATAATCGTGATCTGCAACGTTGTGTACCGTACCAGCTATTTTTCGAACAGACTTAATAGTTAATACAAAATTATTAGCGATGAGTAAGTGAATAATTTATTTCAGTAATTAATTAAAAGTGCTATTTAGATCGCTTTCACTTTTCTCTTATCACTGTTAGTTTTTAACTCTGGTCCGTTTAGGCATACATCTTATTTGGTGATTTCAACGACTATCAGATGTTCAACGAATCGTACTCAGTAATCAAAGGTTACCTACGACGAGGGTAAGGAGGTAATTTCCTCAATATTATATATATTGCTTGCCTTCGAAAACTTGAAAAAAGCTTTTTAGCAGCATTGTTTGCAGGTTGGTAGTTCCTTTAAAATGAGATCATTATGCATGCAATCTTATTGCAGAAAAAATGAGTCGTTTCGCAATGTTTTTTATCTTTCCTGCTTGACCGTTTTCGTGAAAAGGCTGTTGGTAATAACAAAACAAAATCTGACGTAAGGGACTATCAGTGACGAGTGTTACGCTGTTGAAATGTTTTAAAAATGCATTACTATTAACTGAAAAACCTTTGTAATACGTTAAAGTGTACATTAAAAATTAATGAACAAAATATATTCGCAGTAGTAACATTTCTTTTATGTTAACCATGCAAATCGTTGGTTTATTCGGTTCCATTATTCATCTTAACCTTTAACACCGCATCCTTGTTGATCAAAGAGAACTTACATTATGTTCGACTACATGAAGGTCGTTTTATTTAAAATCGCCGTAACCAGCGTACCGCTGCCCCTTGCAATCAAATCATTTTCTTTTTAGTCGCCCACAATGTAATGTTGGCACCGGTGATCACCCAATGTACGTGAACGTTCATATGAGCGACGGAACGACAGCAAATACATGGATCGACTCGCTACAGGCTTCGTTTGCAGGCGTGCAGGTAAAGCGATTGAAATTTTTTTGTGCTCCGCCACAAAAGCTCTGCTGAACGATAACTCCTCATTTATAGGTATTAAATGGGGATTTGGAAGAAGCAATATGTCAACACGCGTTGTACTACACTGTATGGAAGAAGTACGGTTTTCTGCCAGAGAGGTTCAACTGGCGTCTGAAGTACGTTCGATAGATTATTTAATATAATTAGACAGGAGTGAAAATTTTGCGCAATTTAGTACAGTCTACCACTGGAAGAATGGTCTTTTGATGTAATTGTTCTGAGCGCAAGTCGAAATTATAATTTTCTTAAGGGGTGTGGAGTGAAACTAGATTTGCGGTTCAGTCCAAACTGATAATTCCGCGGTTTTACTGCTTTATTACTAAATCTTTTCCTGTACCCAAGCCACAACACTGTTGCCCTCATGTTTAAGTTTACACTGTAGCGTTGATGTCTGCTGAGGCTTAAGCAATAATGCAGTAAAAACACCAATGTGGAATAAAAAGCGAATTTTTCATTCCGCATTGGTATGGACGGTAGCATACATACGCTTTCCCTCAGTGTTAGTTCGAGATGACTAATATATTTGCTTTCGGAATAGATGACTCATTAGTGGTCGTTTCACTTTTTCTGCCTACTCAACGTTCGAATGCGAGACTCTCCATTTCATTCTGTGGCACTCAATTCAATACAAGCATCGGAAGCGGATGATCACTCACTAAAATGTTTTGAATATCTGTCACGTTGGCCCTGATCAGTTCTCTGTTTAAAGGATAAAACCGAGACGAAAGGCGACCACGCTTCTTTAGCAGTGATGATGATATAGACTTAAGTCCTCAATACAGAGCTAATCCATCTTAAGGTTTATCCACCGTTGAGATTCTCAAGGTATGTCGAAGCAAGCTTGAAGTTGTTAATGACGTAACATTGTTTCGGCTAGTTATGAATACCAAATCGCATAAAAAACTACCACAGTACACACTCGTGTCAGTGACACTTCACTTCATCCATGTTCGAACTAACCGTGTTTTAACTACTAGTTGTAATTAATGACAACTATATTTAAACGTTTAGAGCACCAGACGTTGCCTTTTATCCGTTGCGACCCGAATTCGTCGAAACAACTTACAATCTATATCTGGCGACAAAAAACCCTTTTTACCTCCATGTCGGAAAAGAAATCATTGAAAGCCTTAACAAGTTTGCTAAAGTCAAGTACGCACTTTTGCTTAGCATTTACAAATAACTGCTATTTGCCTTATCATCTAAAAGGTCTGTTGTTTAGGTGCGGTTATGCAACAATCCACAATGTCTTGGACAAAAGTCTGGAAGATCGCATGGAAAGCTTTTTTCTCAGCGAAACGTGTAAATATCTTTATCTGGTGAGTGAATAGCTACTTCCAATGAATGTCTAAACTCACGTAGCTGCAAGACAAACAGATGTCATCAGATTTTTTCTCTTTTTGACATTTTCAACGCGACAATCATGCCTTCTTCGCATCAGGTAACAAAAATTATCAGTAGAGGGAGCTGCACGCTTTATTCCCACATTTCTGCGGTTGTTTACCTACTCCAAGCAATGGTTTCATGAAGAAGTTCATTTCCGATGATATTCAGCCATCATATCGGACGCGGTCTGTTAATTGAGTCGTGACCTTTCCTTCGTGGATAGTAAATGACCTCTGAGATTATTATTTGCAGCCCTTTCTCATCTAATGTAGGTACTGATTTTTCACTTTCTTTGACATTTGAAGCAATCATAATATCTTATTCCAGTTGACTGCTCAAAATCACCATTTGAACATTTTTTACAGTACGCTTTGTTCAGCAAAACAATTCTGTCTCTTAACCCGGCAAAGTTCTGCTCACAGTTCACATCCGGCAGACTTCGTGTCAGTAGGTCATGGTTTTTCCACTCCCTCCATTTATGGTTTCTAGTTTCCTTTTTGTACTGTTGCGCTCAGTGTATTCGAGCAGTCTGATCATACGTCTGTACGTGACTACATATCAGTTGGATATACAAAAATTCGCACATTATTCTTTCCTCTGGTAGAGCGACGATATCATACTCGAGTACTTCACTCTTTGTCGAGGTTCATCACACCAACTGTCATCAGAAGAAACTTTCTTTTCTAGTTGATATCCTTCTTGGCAATTTCTTGTTCAGTATCAAACACTCTTGATTACACGTAATGGTATATACGTTGATAGACTTGAACGCAGATTGCTTCACATTAACACTTAGTTTTTTCTTCATCATCACAGACAGGCTTAACTGCTTGCTTAACCGATTCACTTCCATTTTTATTCTGCGGTCCATCAGTCATGAATA